TGCAGTAAATGCAATCATCAATCCACTTGAGATTGGTGAAAGGTGGGTATGATGTTGGCAACAATATTTCTTTTACGAATACTTCCAAGAGGTCGTAGTGGATACAATGAGGCCCTGTAAATACACACGAGTCACTTGTGGATAACAACAGTGGGTATATCGTAGGTACAACGAACCACTGTGAGCCCAAGTACAGATATCACCTACGACAACGGTGATCAAGATCTTCAAGTACGTCGGGTACAAGGGCAACTCAATGTATGAAAAAGGACACCTGACAGAATGGAAGAGAGGTTTGAACAAATTAGAACTAAACTTCCTGGTGTTCCAAAGTCTCTTCTTAATTCTATACTTAAGAAGAAAACAGTTCTGGTGTCCACAAACACCGGAAGTAACAAATCTACTACACTAATGATCTTGAAAAGAGTCCTTTTCAAAACAGTGGTCATAAAATCTCAAGAAGAGCCTCCCCGGTGAATAAGAAAAGGGGAGTCAACATCAAAATGATGAAATGCCTCATGACATCCAGAACATACTGCCACTGGATCTGCAACACTCGTACTAGCGGACAGAAGGCGTGTATAAGCTCTCAAATGAAATAGTGTATTCAAATGGCAATTACCTACACAACTATAAATATTTCAAAATACCACTGCACATGCACTGTAATATGTATACACATAGGTACACAAGGGGTAAATGTGAACAAAACTTGCATGGGCCCTACCGAGCGTGTTATTGGTACACGTGACGTCTAGGGATACTGTGCGGGTCAATAAGTGAATTAAAGTTCGAACCCAATCCTTCTATACGAATTAATAGAAGTCGATAAGGTTCGAACCTTTAAACAAATACACGGTTGTGGGGACCGGTGTATTTGTTTTAATACATTCATATTAGGCCTTCAAGGCCTATAATAAAGAGAATTCACTAAATAAAGGCATAAAGCCTCCGAAATCCGATCTTCCTAAGTAAATAGGAGTAGACAGGATTCGAACTGTTAGATAAATATACGATCACGAAGTTGACCAGAATATTTATTTTATATATTCGTATTAGGCCTTCAAGGCCTTTAACGAAGGAAATTCACAAACAAAGACATGAAGCCCGAGGAACCCGATCCTCTGTTGATAGCTCAACAGAGTTGACAAGGTTCATCCATAAAATAGAAATATCTTCAAATGAATGACCCCAAACATCCCGATGATGGCCGTGTTGAATGTTTATCTCAACCGGAAGGGTTCACAAATATTTTCAAATACTATCCTAAATACCCACAAAAATTCAAAAAATCTCAAAATTCCAAAAATATTTAAAATTTAAATCCAACTATCAAATAATTTAAAGCAAAAACCATTCATCCTCCACAAAAGTTTGCTGAGGAGGATAAATTAAAATATAACTTCAGCTCACAAAGAGCAAAATGCCTGATTGAAAATATCACTAGGATCCATTCTCAGATAATCTTCTACCAAGGACGTGGTACATGTCCTCTAACCGGCGGTTTTTCTGCCAAATGATACCGCATTATAAACTTTATGACCCGGGGCCCTTTGAACCTAGTGGTTTTGCCACCAAATGACACCACGAAATACTGGTTATGGCCAGAGCCAATACGTCCCTTATTGGTATTAAGTCCTTGAGATATGAATCAATATGGTATGATCGATAGGGCACAAAGCCCTCTGTTAGCTAAGATGGATTCAAATTTGTCCCCTTAGACAAGCATTCCTCCCAGGTCTATAAGGACGTGGTACATGTCCTCTAACCGGCGGTTTTTCTGCCAAATGGTACTGCAGTATAAACGTTATGACCCGGGGTTCTTTGAACCTAGTGGTTTTGCCACCAAATGACACCACGAAATACTGGTTATGGCTAGAGCCAATATGTCCCTTATTGGTATTAAATCCTTGAGATATGAATCAATATGGTATGATCGATAGGGCACAAAGTCCTCTGTTAGCTAAGATGGATTCAAATTTGTCCCCTTAGACAAGTATTCCTCTCAGGTCTATAAGGTACCCTTGAACGAAGCAACCCATGGCTGCCGACATGGATCCTTTTGTCAGGTTGGGTAGACTATCTCCTCTGACTAAGTAGACCAGAGACCACGATGGCCCGGGACGATATAACCATGGGATTTTGATCGGGTCCATCATCCATTCCCCCATTATGCGTTTTAAGTGTAAGATGGTGCAATTTCAATTTTAAATATCAAGTCTTTCAAACCTCAAACTCCCAAACCTATGCCCATTGCTGCTACTATACGCTTGATACTGCGTATCTATGAATACACTGTATCTGATTGACGACTAGCCTTAATCAAAAGTTCTCTCTCGTTATCGAGAGGGGTAATTAACTATATGGGCTTGCGCCTATAGGAAACTAGAACTTAGATCATAAAGTCCTCACAAAAATAAGGGCGATACTCTGGGTAGTGTCTTATCTACAAACCCATCTGCCTTCCCAAAATTTATCCTGGAACTTATTCCGTTAAAACTTCCTCGCCAAAAAGAAAAAGCAAAACAGTGCGGGCGGAGGCCGGGCCGAATGTTCGGAGCCCACAGAGTAGCTCCAATGGAAGATAAGATTAGAGAGAGTCGCCTTTGATGTTTTGGTCACATAAAATGATGGCCTCTCGATAACTGAAAGTAGAGGTATTAGATTTAGTTTTTGTTAAGAAAGGTAGAGGTAGACCTAAAAAGATTTGGTTAGAAAATATTAGAAATGACATTTCTTTATTAGATTTAAATGAGATTTTGACTCTTAATATGATACAATGGAGAAAAAGGATTCATGTAGCGGACCCCATGTAGTGGGATAAAGGTTTTATGTTGTTGTTGTAGGCAGCTATTAAATCACATGGTTCCTTGTTGACAGATGCTCTCACGAATCATTCAATATCAAAATTATTGAAAGGTGAACCTGGACCTGCATTGTCTAGGTCAGGCTCATCTCATGCCTGGACCTGGGCTCAGACAAGTGAAGGATAAACATAAGCTTAGAATTGCAAATAATTACTTATTACATACTGTGTATAAGGTCCACATTGTGTTTTCTTATCATCGGATCGTTGTCAGCTTTAATGTTTTGTTTCCAAATGCAAACTGAGTAACATCTAACTAGCAGCCCGTGGAGTGCTGCACATTATTTTGCATCCATTCCATGTAACCAGATATGATATATTTTCCATTGCTAGTGTTGTTCGGTTTTGCGGTTTATTTTAATTAATGTTTAACCAATATTTTTCTTTTTAATTGTTTCTAGTGCTCAGAGCACTGCTAGGATTGAAGAACTTCTACAGGAAGATCAAAATGTAAAGCGGAAGAGAGAGCGGTTTCAAAGGCAGTCATCCATTCTGACAAAGCTTACTCGTTCACTTAGCATACATGACAATCGAGCAGCTGCTGCTACTTGGTCAGAAAGTAGTACTGGAGAAGGTAACTTCTCTTTTTTTATCTAGTGAGTAATCTGAAAGATGTCTTTTATTTCATTTTTTTCTGTAGTATGAGGAATAACTGTAATTTGACCTGGACTTGGAGTTTTTTTTCCCGGCACTAAGTTCCTTTCCAATTGTTAATTCAACTTTCTCATTTTGCTATATTTATGAAGGCGCATTCTTAATTTATTTCCTTCTAAAAGTAGATAGCTGAGAATTTGCTTACTCAGTCAGCAAATTTAAATGCAGCAGAATATTTTGAGTTCAACTTGCAAATGCTAGCTTGCTACTAGATAAACCTAGTTTCAAGAATAAATGTTGTATAGCTTCTTGTATCAACGTAGAATCACAATCTAAAAAACTTCTTTATATTTTTGTATTGTAATATTATATATTTTTAAACTTGGTAAGGTAGAAGCTTATCTCAAAATAGGGCACAAGCTCAATTATAGTCCTAGTACGACCCAACTCCGTGTAGGAACTAGGCAATTTTTCAGTTCTAAGCAAGGTTGTGAAAACTGGACCAGACAATGAACTTAAAGATTGATAGGTTCACGGTTTGACTGTTTCGAACTTGGGTCGAACCGGATGACATAATAAATACTAATTTTATTTAAAAATAATAAAATCACCGTAATAATAATACAATAATTTTGAACTATGTTACTAGAAATTAAATAGTAATACAATAATCGTCAAGGAATATGCAGCAAGCCTTGATTATAGAACAATACGATGCTTCATTATAATGGACTAATAGTGAGCTCAACACAACCACCCAAAGGAAAACTCATTAACGCAAGGTACATTGATATTTAGAAAGAAATCACTGCATCAAACTTTGAAAAGTAGATAAGCGCCCACCATGGATACTTGATAACAGTAAAAATTGAATAACTTGGTGCATCTTCCATAGTAATTCCATTTGTTACGAAAATACATTTCATGAAATGAAGAATGAGAAATCATGAAAGGAAGAGAACTCTGATAAAAGTCAAATCCTTAAATAACATGTAGAAAATATTTCTACTTATAACCATTCATAAATCACTTGATAATGGAAGCTATGGTTGCAAAACAAGACTCACCAAATAATTTGCGAGTGACGTGCGCACGAAGGAAGGCATCGTGCATAAAATCACTTGGTAATGGAAGCTATGGTTGCAAAACAAGACTCACCAAATGATCTGTGAGCGGCGCGCGTACGAAAAATGCCATTGTGAGTCTCTCCTTTTTGTTAATTCGTCACTCCCGTAGGGTTTGAGAGATATAGCTATGAGAGAAATACCAAAATCGCGTCCCTGGGCGCTTACAACTTGCGTTATTCACCCTAAACCCAATTTCAGCTCTTAGATGTGCGATCAGCTGCTCAAATTAGTATATTTCTGAACCGGCTAGTTCTTTCCAACACATCCGGTCTGACAGTTAGCCATTTCAGCTAGCGTTTCAACCGGTTTTTGGCCGGTATGATTGCAATCTGGCTTTGCATGTAGGGCTGGATTGGTTGCCAAACTAGTTCCCAATTCAACCGTTTCCCAGCTCAAGCGGTTGAACCGAGCAGTCTGGTCCGATTTTTAAAACCTTTGTTTTAAGCATGTCTCATATACAATACTCAAACTTCCAACCATTCTAGGGAATTAAGGGAATATATCATTTAAGTTAAAGTTCATTAGTTAATAGTAATTTTTAAATTGATGGATAAATAAGGATAAATAAATGTTAATGGCATTCATTTATTTTTAGAACATTTTGGTGGTTTATGGCATCACATACTAAACTCCCAAACAGATCATGCCTTCACGCCTTGAGCCACAACAACTTCCTTTTGACTGCCTCAACCTCCAATCATTCGCCTCTGATGCAACTTCTATCGTCGTAGTTACCACTGGGGATCGCTTGGAAGTAGGGTGCAAGTGAGCTGAGCTGGCTTGAGTTTGACTCGATAACGAGCTCACGAGCCAAGCTTATTGAGTTGCGATCTTGAGCTTGATAAGACTCAGCTCCCAAGCTAGCTTGTAATAATAAAGATAATAGGGGATTTTTCTTAAAAAAATCAGCCTTGATTTTTTTCTCTTGTTAGAAGATGCTAGCATAGGTAAGATTTGAAAAAAAAAAGCCGCACTTCTAAAGAAAAGCTATCTTGCATTAATAATGTTGCATCAGTGTAGAAAAAAAAGTAAAGCTTCATTGTTCCCAAGAAAAATATATAAAAAAAAAATCCAACATCTCATGCAGCAGATAAAGGCACATCTTCTTCTTCTTTTTCTTCTTCTTCAACGACACATACTTTTCTTCTCTGGCAATCGTTCTTCCTCTCCTTCGTTGCTTTTGTCGAGATCACACGAGCAGCTCGCCAGCATGTTTTTATTGTCACGAGCCAAACTCGAGCTCACTCTTTAAGCTCGACTCAACTTTGAGGTTGAGTTTGATCTCATGATTTAGTTGGTGATTCGAGCTCTAGCTAGACATGACTCGAGCTCGATTAGATTAGACTCGTTTATACCCATGAGTGGAAGTTGCACATCACCATTACCTCCTCTGAAAATTTTGTAATAGTACTCTCATCTTTATGTTGATGAAAAATATTTATGAAAGAGGAAGATAACTGAAATATCTGAAGAAAAATCATATTGCAAGGCATTGGACTCCATAAAATGCGACAGGGGAGAGGTCAATTTATGACGATGACTCAAATAAGGACCAATGCAGCACTAAGACAATGACCAATGACAAGATCACAAACTAAGACCCATCACTAGAATTTGGGCTAGTTATCATGCAAAACTCTCCAAGTAAACCCATCAACATCTCATAATACTTTTTTAAATCATGAGAGAATGATTTAAAAGGTTGATTTAAGGCCTCTTGATGTGTAGCTGGGCCATACAAGTCAAAAAGTCAAAGATTTTTATAAATTGATTAATTGTAAGAACACATTTGGCATTTGTGGCCAAGCTGAATTTTTATATGTTTAGAAATTTTAATTTAATTTATTTTCTTTTAGTATTAGTACATGTTATCAATTCATGTAATAGTCTTTTTTTGGCTCCTAAGGCTTTCCAAAGTTTAGGCTTGGAAAAGTATATAAGTAGGCCTTTCTTTGTACTTTTGATTTATTGAATAAAAATTTGGTGGATGATCATCTTAGGCTTTGTCAAGTCTTTAGTTATCTCTTATTTTCATTATTCATCCTTTTCCTGAGACAATTTTCATATTTTCTACTTAGTCTCAAGCTTAGCAACCATTAACCTCAAACATATCCAAACTCTCTTAATATTTCCACATATCTCTCATATTCTTCTAAGGCCTCAACTCTCTAAAAACCCTAAGAAACCATAGCCAAAATGCCAATATAAAGAGGCAATTTTTTGCTGTGAGCAACCAAATTGAAAGTTTCATATCTTTTCAATTATTGATCCAAAAACTATACAAACACCAAGATTAGCTCCCTAACATCTCAAACATTTGATTTGGAGCTTCTCATTATTTTTTTTTCCATGAAAAACCATTTTTAATCTTTAGAAGTTTTAGACCAAAATCTATCTGCAAATCTAAATTTCAACTTCACCATCACTCAAATGACTATTCCATCGCCACTTTAAGAGGACGTCAATCAATTTCACAATAAAGATTTCATCGATAAATACATCAAGGCCTCCCTCAGTGATGACAATATAGATAATTTCTGAGTTGTTGCTAACTATTTTAGTTTTCCTTAGAAATTAAATGTGGATGAGCAGAGAATTTGAAAAGAAGGAATTTAGAGTTGAATTTGATATTATATGATATTTTTATACCATTCTTATATTTTTATTCTTTTGCTCTTGTAATAGTTGAATTTCAATTATATTTTACGTAATTTATTACTTGCCATTTTATGTCTTGTATAATTTTTTCTTTCATAAGTATATCAAATTGTTACTTTATAACTCAATAAAAAGTTAATGTCATTCTTAACATATTATTTGGGTATTACATAAAAGTTACTTTTAATCTTTATTTTCACCTTACGCAATTGTATGATTTTGAGGATTATGTCTCAAAATGCCTTGAGGCTTATGCCTCGCCTCATGAATGAAAAACGTCTCAATATCTAATTACGTAATTTTAAACCTTGGCCTGCACTATGACTTGCATGGAAAAAAGCCTCAGAAACTTTTTCCCTTTGCCTTATTTGATATGCTTGACCTTATTTCATGACTTCCAATTTTATCTGAGTGTTTCGCGAACTTGTATCAACTACCAAACAATGAAAAGAAATCTTCATTCGATGATCCTCAAAATACTTAATAAACACATCAGCAAATTCCAAATACATGTTTATTATCATTAAAATCAAGTTAGTGTACTTGAGGTTCCTAGGGTTTTCACTTGCTAATGTTAAATTGCCCGAAAAGATTTTATATTATAGCCAAAGAAAAATGTAGAAGTATGCATCAATGATTACCCAAACCTAATTTCTTGTTTTGATGCTCTCTTGGAGTAAAGACACATGTGGGTTACTTGATTTGAAGATTCTTTCAAGTCCAAATTTATAATACGTGAAAACTTATTTCACTTCTTATTTCGCTCATAACTAAAAATTGCTACTTTGTTTGTTTTTCTCACTATTTTACATGGTTTGAAAAAAATTTTTGAGGCGCACAAGGCATACGAAAAACACCTTGAGATTTGTGCCCCATTATCCCTAGTAATGCCTTCTTTATCTTAGGCAATATGTCTTATCAATATACCTTGAGACTTAGCATCACCTTACTAAGAAAAATATTCCGTTATGTTAGCTTATCTAATATCACAAAGTTATGTTGAGGGAATATGTCTTATCAATTATTATGGTTATCTTATATATTTAGTTTTTTATGTGTTAGCTTATAAGTTTGGATTTATTTTATTTATGAATCAATCAATGAATTATGAAAAATTTGGTCCCCTCGACCAAACTTTAGGCCCTTATAGATTTAGGCCAAACAAAATTGCCTCTCTCTCTCTATGTATATATAT